CGCTTCCGCTGCTGGGAAGTAAACAGGGAGGGAGGGGAGTGGCGGGGCAGGAGAGGCCCGAGCCTTGGGTGACGGAGCGTTGGGGTTGGTTTCGCTGGAGGGAGCTGATGTGGCCGGAGCGGAGGCGCCAGTGTGGCCCGAGCCCCGGTTGATGCGAAGCGCCGCAGGGAGCCGCCAGGTGAAGGGACGGGACGGGACGGGGGTGGGCGGCGGCGCAGCGAGACCTTCCCCGGGATCCCGGCTGCGCTGCCGATGGAGGGATCCGGGAGGGCGGGTCGCGGGGCCCTGCCCGGGAGCGGGGCGTTTGCCCGCGGTCTGTCAGAGCCCGCGCCCCGGGGAATGTTCTCCGGGAGTAGCGGGGCTTAAAGCTTAGTTCTCCGTTTTTATCGGGTGGCGCTGCCTCGCAGCCTTCTCATAACAGTCATCAATTGTAAGTCCCTGTCTTTTTGCAGCAGAACTAGTTATTCGCGAAGATTAGGGAGGGGTCAGTCTTGTGTCTGGGTCGCCCCCTCTTTAAGTCCGTTCCCCCCATTACCTCACTCCTTTTATTTCTAGAACGGCCTCACTTCAGATGTAAAACAACACAACGAGCCCAGTAAGGTTTGTTCATGGGAAAGCGTTGTCAGCAGGATGTAAACAGCCATGCACGGCTTCGGTTTTTTTGAACTGCCATTGTGTTATGTCTGCACCTCACACAGCAATAAAAACAATGTTAAGCATGTGCTTTGCTCCTCCTCCTGCTTGGCGACTGAACTGTGTGATTGTGCTTGAACATGACTGTTGCAAACAAGATAGTGTGGGTTGCGCCCAGATGTGGAGTTCAGAACACCGAGTTCAGAAACAAATTGTTATAACAGGTTGAGAAATTTACTTGGACTATCTTACGGAGTCGAGCGTTCTGATTTCACTTTTTGTTATTTTGTTGGGGTTTTTTCCCTTTTCTGTCAAGATCTTAGCTTTTAAAGCAAAGTTGATTATAGCAGCAGTTTGGAAAAACTGATCAATCTTAACTGTGTCCTCAGTATGCCAGAGAGTTAAAAGCAATATTTGACGATTCAGGTGTTGTAAGAAGCGATAAGCAGTCATTGTTTGAAAAATAGGTTGTACCTATACATTAATATGCTAGCATGGAATTTTGCATCATTATCTTCCTTGTTGAAAAGTTATTTCTGTTGGCCTTGGATTTAAAATGGTTAGATCATTAAACTATCAGATACCTAAAACAGGGTTAACAGAACGGCCTAATTGCATTTGCCTGTTCCTGTATTCAATTTGCAGAAAGGTTTACTCTCTTAAGTGGCCTTTTTTTTAAAAAAATAAATAATTATAGGTGACTGCAAACGAATGCAGGCAAATTGCATTCTTTCAATTTTGTATTTGTTTTATTGTTAGGCATGTTAAGAGGTTAAAACCAGTTATGTTTAAAAAAAAAATACAGTACTTCAAATTCTGACACAAGATGACAAAAATCAGATTAACAAATTAATTAGATGACAAAACAGTTCTCTGCAAGTCTTAAAAATCATATTTTAGTCTACAGCTTAGACTTTGCTTTCTCTTTAGAAAAAGATCCACAAGGAGGTATTTTTGAAATTTAGGATTACTACCTCTTTTCAATTACAGAAACATCTGAGATGTCAGTATAACAAAAGAAGTTGTCAGGAAATATCTTTTCCCATCCCCTACTTTTCAAGCCATGGCACTTAGAACACATAACATTTTCTTGGAAGACACTCACCTGAAATTCATCATCAGTATAGCTCTAGTGATGGCCATATTCACTCTTTCCTTCGCTGTCTATAAAAACTTGGGATAGTACCCCACAACTTCAGGAGTGGGTTTTGATCTGTAATCAGCATGTATTAACTACTTAGAACTTTGTTGAAGTTAGGTCAGAGATGCAACTTGTAAGTTGGCTGCTGATGACCTGGTCCATTTCTATTAGCCCTGTCTGATTATTTTTCCAGCTGAAAAATTCATACACTTCTGTCAGTGGCAGCTCACTCTTGGTCTTTTTTGGAAAAAAAAAAAAAAGGTGGTGGGGGGAAGGGAAAAAAAAGTGTTAGATCTACTGCTTGCATCTGAAAAGATCAGTTACAGTATGTGCTCTATGTGAATCAGCTCTACTGTACGTGCACAATAGCCCCTCTAATGTGATAAGTGAGAAAATCCAGAGCTTGACCCCCTAATGCAGTGATAAAAGAAGCCTACCTAACTAGAAAACTTATGCACATGTATTATCTTACTAGCGAAAGATGAGGCAGGATATCTAGAGAGGAAGACTTGGAGAGCCAAGTCTAACATTTACCTTGTGTAGTTTTTCACAGACTAATGAGAGATGGCTTTGAAAAGACCTGAAGACATCAAACATGCTATCCCAAATTAGCTTGCATATGGTAATTGCTTGTTATAACCTAGTTGTGGTTGTTTGGAATATCTGTTTGGTGGAAAGTTTAAAGGAATGTTACATTTCAGGCTAGTTTATTACAAGTACTATTCTTGGACTATGCTTAGCAGTTATCTCAAATACAGACATAACAGGTTTGCAGTGGATTTGCTGATCTAATTATTGGTTAAGTTTACTTATTCAGTTTTCACAGTTGCAAAATCCAGTTCCTTCATCTTTTTGTTAGTTGCAACTGGTTCTAAGTCACTTTTTGGTGTTCTTGCTTTTCTTTTGTACCAGTGAAGTCAGTGGCACTCTCTCTCACGTGGAAAGTTTTGTTTCAGCACAGGAGTCATGTCCTGCATAGTCTCATAGTCATGAGCTGTGACTCACAGTACATAGTTCTCAGGAAGCAAGAAGAAGGGTTTTTGCCCAGTAGTGTGTTGATTTTATAATTGCCCCAAAGTGCTACTGAGATTACAAGACGAAGCTGAAAAAGATTGAGAGAGAAATTATGTTCATCAGTGTTTCATGACAGTATGTTCAGGTTTGTTTACATAATTTTTTTAATAGCTTCGGCCCTTAAGTGATAGTTTGCTTTTGTCATGTTAGTGGGTGGAATTGAAGTGTTTTAAAGATAGGTAAGGAGATGCTGTCTTTGAAAAAATAATCTGTGATGGATTGAATGATAAACAGTATAATTTTTTACTTGTCTATGGAGCATATTATACTTTGCTTTAAAAAAGACTTTTCACCTTTTACTCAGTTGCAGTACACAGCAGGGAAAGTTAATTGTCTAGATCGCAAGTGAACTGGGCATATGGTAATTGTGTATGTGCAATTGTACATGAATATTAAACCAGAAGGATTTCACTGTGTATGAAGTCCATGTTTATCTTACAGAAATCAAGGGGGCTGGGGCATGTTTATACATACCAAGACCCCTCACCCCAATTCTCTTAGCTTTTTAGAGACTATAGTTGAATGTATTGTAGTTTAGTGTGAGGTCTCATTCCTAGTCCTTCGGGACATGATGTGCATCACACTTAGGCTTTTAAAAACAGGTGATTGGATGCTAAATTCAATTGTAAACTGGCATGTACGAAAGGACACACTGTGACCAAACCCCAGTTTCAGATTTATTTCAGATCTATGTAGTGGTGTTTTTTTCCCCTTCTTTAATAATGTAATATAAGGTAGAACTTGTATAAGTGCAACCATTATGGAAGAAGTATGTTACTGAGAGTGAGATAGTTTTTGCATCAGACTTGCTGAATTTAATGAGTTTCAAGAAAGTTTGCTGACTCTTCTGCAAACTTTTTTTTGTGGTTTGAAACTTCCAGACTGTTACTAGAAATCTTTCGTAATCCCTATTACTAGTTAGTTGGAAAAATGAATGCACACCAATGTTCTTGATGAAATATGTGTTAAGGATACTGGTTTAAAATAGATGCATACAGAAAACATGCTTTTTCACCTCCACAGTTCTCTATTAATCTTGTTCTTTTCAGCTCCATTGTTACATTTACAAGATACATAGATTTATTTTTTAAACTATTTTTATAGAATGAAACGAGGAAGGAAAACTAATGAGGCCAACAGCAGTTCATCTGAAGAGACAACTGAAAAAGAATCCAAGAGACACAAGGTTATAGATGAGAAAACCATAGTTGTGCAGAGTCCAGACTGGGCGAACCTGCTTCAAGACATTATCCTGCAGGTGTTTCAGTACTTGCCCCTTCTGGATCGTGCTCATGCATCACAGGTCTGCCGAAGCTGGAACCAAGTGTTTCATATGCCTGATCTCTGGAGGTGTTTTGAGTTTGAACTGAATCAACCAGCTACGTCTTACTTGAGGGCTACGCATCCTGAACTAATCAAGCAAATAATAAAGAGGCATTCCAATCACCTGCAGTATGTCAGCTTCAAGGTAGTGTATTTTATAGACTCTTAAAACTTAATTTTGTAACAGCATTTGTTTAAATTTAGTTCTTTTTCTTTTTTTTTTTTCTTTCATTTTGTTCAGAATATTATAAGGTGATATCTCTAGTACTTTTGAGAGTTTTGAAGGTTCATCTGTGTAAATATCAAAACATGAGAAGTGTGATATAATGTCAGTAATAAGTGGTACTTGACAATTGTGATCAAAACATTTTAATATGGTAAAAATTAAAGAACATCACTGAATGTTAGGGGAGGTTTATGATGTTATTTTTGTGATTAGGATTGTCAGTTTTATTTAAAAAGAAATATGGCAGTTCTCAGTGTGGTGAGCCTTGTTTTCAGGCCTAGTATACAGAAGAAATGGGTTCTTTAAATGGGCATATAGACATGGAGGTTACCTCCCAATTAATTTATTTGGATATATTTTCAAGATCAAAACTTAATAACTGTTCTGAACATACCTTTTCATTGCCTTAATTCCATTAGGTGGGGATTTTTTTTTTTTTTCTTTCTCATAGCACCTTAGCTGCTTAAAATTCTGCCTCCATGAGTGGGCAGAAATACTTCAGTTCTGGGTACCTGCCTCAGAACGAAGTTTGATAAGGACGTGTAAATTTAGCATTTCCCTGTTTCACATCCTGTAGGGAGTAGGATCTAATATTCATAGTTAGAAAAAATCTAATGCATAGAGGGTGACTTCAGTACTACTAGTAAGCAACCAATGCACATACATTGCACAGGATTGTCCGTGTATGACATCTGCTCAGCACAGCTGCATTTCAGTTAACTGAAAAAGTACATGGGGTTTGCACAGGATTTGCAAATCTGTGCTTGTCTGAGAAATACCATTTGGTGAGAATTGGCTAGATTAACATAATGAAATTATTTTCAGCAGATGAAAATCTTTAATGTTGTCTTATGTATCACTGTTTTGGAAGGGTGCTGTGAAACAGTCATGGCTGCATATGCATCAGCTATGTGAGAAATTTGAAAAGGAAACTGCTTCTACAGCAAGGTGAATGTACTAGTTAGTTTCTGAGATCTGGCAGTTTTAATGTAAGAATCATCAGCATGTGAGTTGCTGAGGCACCTCTGCCTGATCACGTGTATTGCTACTGCTTGTTGCAATATAAAATCCAAATTTTTATTACAGGTTTGCAGGGGTTTTATCGTTGTCCAAATAAAGAAAATTTATAGCAGTGTTAGAATGACCTTCCAGTGTTTATCTCCTGTCTATGTTGCTTTGCACCAAGTGATTTTTCAAGGATTTCAGATGCCCTTCACTGGTAGGGTGATATCCCCCTAATTTTTTCAATGTGTCCCTGCAGTTGTGCCTCAGTGTTTCAGAATGAACACTAGATCGCATGAAATGCTAAGTAGCAAGGATAATCACAAGGAAGTGGATATAACACACTTAATGTGTCAAGGCTGAGAACTTGGGGTTTTTTTGTAGGCAAAAAAAGATTGGATTGTTGAAAAACAAAGTTTTTCAGTTTGTGTTTAAGCAATAAAATCAATATTCATTGGACTTAGATCAGATGCTGGCAAGGCCGCAGGGCTTATGGTGGACTTAAAATTGATCCTGTGATCAAGCTTTTTACTGTTCCATAGGTTTGCTGTCTCACCTAATGTATTTAAGAGGTTATTTGGAAAGCATATCTGAAATCCACTGGAGGCACACAAAGTGCTTGGTTTGGGTAATGAGCTGACTAATTTATTTTTTTTTTCCAGAGTATCCATTGCATATCTGTTGTGGTATTAATGATGAAGGTCCAGTCATATAGGTTCATAAGATAATGCACTTAACTCTCCAGCAGCTCTATGTTATGAGCTCAGTCACTATAAAAGGAATCGGCTTTTTTACACAGTAAGGGATCTATAGAATTCCTGCATTTTGATAAGGAAGAATGTAAAGAGGAAGTGGGGGTCAGATCTGGACTCAGATGAACCTCCACTTGCTTATTATTTGATTTGGATTGAATATCTTGGAACAAACTGTTTAGCTGACCTCCTCCTCATGCTAAATTTTAACCGCAGTATTTAGGGGAGTGATAAATTTATAACATATTGTCTTGGATTTTTGGTATGTGCCTTTTAGGGAAAAGAGAATTTTACATTGATGGATTCCCAGTGAGGTGTGTTGTGGGGTTTTTTGATATCACATTTCAGAAGGTAAAGTGAAAAAAATGTTGGAAGTACATCTACGCTAATCTACTTTTTTTAAAGAGTGTTTGATGCAGTGTTTTCTGAACAACAAATCTGTCTTGGTTTAAGGTGGACAGTAGCAAGGAATCTGCAGAAGCTGCTTGTGATATTCTGTCGCAGCTTGTGAATTGCTCTCTGAAAACACTTGGGCTCATTTCAACTGCCCGGCCAAGCTTCATGGATTTACCAAAGGTATTTTAATAAGTAGTTTTCTATAGCAAAGTATTGCAGTGGTTCATACAGTATTTCTATAACATTAAGAAAAGTTTTATTTTAAGAATATGAATCTCTAGTAAAGAAAACTTCTGGGCTCTATTAAAGGGAGGAACTGAGATATTGTATTAAGCTGGATAACTAAAGTTTCACTCATTCTCTGCATCGTGTGAGAACTTGGTGCTGACCTTGTTCCTCCAAGTCCTCCTGTCTGTTGAGCACAATGTAATACTGAGCAACACGACCCAAGTCAGGAGGCTAGACAATTCATGTCTGTGTAATTGTACAGTGGGAGATGTTTAGGGGATGATTATAATCGAATGGGTGGTGGAGACTTATCCACGTGGACTTGCTGTAGGGATTACATTATCATTGTGCTCTCTTTAGAAAGCAATATGATCATGTTTTCAGTATTTCGTGCCACGCAGTCAAGTGTTGGATTCTTAGGCAAAGTGCAGTGTATTTCTGAAATTATCTGTTGGATTTTTACCTTGCATGTTTACCAAAAATTAGATACTGTTAGAAGACACCTAATCTAGAAGACAAGAAATCTCTTGTACGTGCTTCTAAACAAAAATTCCTGCTAGTGAGGTAGAAATGTTATTGCTGAGGAGCAGGAGAGCAGTTGGAGTAAACCGGGTTGCTTATTCTATGGAAGAGACATTTCGGGTGTCTTGCAGCCTCAATTTTTGAATCCAGTCCGCATGTATGTGAAGGGCCAGATGCAGCTAGGTTGTCAGTGATGTCATTGCTGATGATGGCAACAAGGACAAGGAAGAAGTAGGGACAGCCTAAGGAAAGGAAGTAGGCTATAGGGTTTAAGCAAGGTTAGCTACAGGATTATCAGTTATTATCCTTGGTGGTGATCACAGCCACGTCATGTAGTCCTCTTGAATATGTATTTTTAATCCTTAATTTCCAAAGTTTTTCTAGATCTTTAATTTTGTTTGGGTTTGTTTTTCCTTTTTCAGTGTGCTTTGAGATGTGACTATAAGAAAACCTGAACATAGCGAAATCTGCAGTCTTATTGTGTTAGCAGTACTTTGTCCTTTAAGCTCTTGTGTATTGTATTATTTCTCAATCTGAACGGTCGTTTAGCTCTTAATTTTCACTGAAGGAATATGTTACGGTGTTATTCAGCTTGCTGAATTATTTGTAGTCATACAAGCTATGGTCTTATTTGACTTCAAGTCTTCTAAAATACAGGCTTCCTTTTTTTTGTTCCCAATAGGTTCACACGTGGTCTTTAAAAATATATTCAAAATGATTCAAAGTCAAGTCTAGGCATAATTTGCCTTTTGATGTTTACCACTCCAGTAACACTGTCACCAGCATATGGGACCAGCAATGATTTTTAAATTTTTGTAGACCACTAATGAAACCAAACATTTTAAGTGGGCCATGAATAAGTTCCTGTGAGAAGCTATTTGTAACAGGCCCATTGGGTGAGAAGCAGGCAAGGATGAATGAATCTGAAAAATGGTTGACACTACACAATGTATTCTTTTTTTTTTTTTTTTTTTAATCAGACTGTATAGGAATTCTGAAATACTTTGCATTATCTTTGCTGGTGCTCTTCTGATTTCAAGTAACGTGACATCTGGCAAATATTTCTAAATCACATTTAGCATTGTGTTGCCTGGTCTTTTCACTAAACGCATTCTACATTATGATTCTTTTAAAATAAGATTACTGTAGGCTACATATTCATTACAATATTGAAAAGACATTACATCACCAGCTTTTACTTTTTTTGAGATCGTGCCTGTATTCCATTAGCTCTTCAAACTATAGTTTCACCTGTTTTTGCAAACATAGTTAACTTTCTTCGCTTTTCTATTTAACAGCCTTCTTGGTGAAGGGAATTCTATTCTAAATACAGAGAATAAAAACAGTGCTAACACTTTCAAAATACAGAGTGGAAATATTATTAAAGCACTCTTTCTTTAGTACATAATGTATATAATCAGCGTATCGTCAGTGTAGTTGGGAGTGGTCCCTAAAGCCTAAATGCCTAATGCTTCTGATCTGAACCTTCCATTTGCGTGAACTGACTTTGACAGTTAATGTGAAAATATTAATTTCTGCTCTAAATCTAATTGTGTGTGAGTTTTGGCAAAACCCACAAACATATCACATAAGAATGAGCAAATACTGATACCAGGCCTTCTCTCATATAACTGTATTCAGGATTCTATGTGTGCATGTGGCTCGGAGTGAAACATTATTGAAATAAAAGTAGCAGGTAATTTTATGGAATATTTAAAGTAGTGCATGGAGGAAGTACTTTTTTAAAGTCTTCTATTCAGTCAATCATGTAAGAAGATAAGCTAATTATTCACTTCCTTCATACCGCCAATGATTTCTACAAGCACTGCTGCATCTGCTCCTTAGTCTCTGTTTCTCAAGTGAAGGTGTCCTGGGCTCTGCTTTTACTGGTAGTTTTCAGTGGTTGCATAAAAACACTGAGGGGCAACCTTGAGCACTGCACCTGCATTATCTGTGCTGCTTAATTGGTAATTAATTGATCACCTACACCTTGGTTCTGTTTGGACCACCTCAGTTAACTTTGCAAGGCAGATCCATTCAAACCCTAAATGCTCTGTCTATACGGTAGGCAGGCAGTGGGACCGTTTGGCTTTGGACACCACCTGACAGTACAGGGTTGCCACTCTTGACTGTGTATGCATCTGACCAACGCAGCACAACTTATCGTGTGGGAGTTCCTGTTCCAGAGGATGCTTCTTTCAGAGTGATGACTTGCAAATTATCCTCAAAATTAGGACTTCGAGGCTTTCTCTTTGCTTGTGGTCATCCTACAGATTTAAGTTTGTGTAGCGGATTGCCCTGGCTCAGGTTCTGGTTTTGTGTTTAATGTTAGATGTTCTGATTTGCCAAATACATAGACTGATAGCAAGAAATTATTATACTTCCTCTGCTCAAAAATATGTCCATTTTAGTATTAGTTTTTAATTATGCAATATCAAAAGAATGTTTTTTCAGCAAATCCTGTCAATAATGAAAGAAAACTAGGACTGCTGTGTACAGTGTAAAACCATTGATGTTTTTATTTCAGATACTACTGTTTCATTTAAACTTTTTTTTCCAGTCTCACTTTATTTCTGCACTGACAGTCGTGTTTGTAAACTCCAAATCCCTCTCCTCACTTAAGATTGATGATACACCAGTGGATGATCCATCTCTCAAAGTGCTAGTGGCTAACAACAGCGACACACTCAAACTGTTGAAAATGAGCAGTTGTCCTCATGTTTCTCCAGCTGGTAAGCTACTGTGTTTTGAATTTTCTTTTTTTTGCATGTATGCATTAAATTCTGTCTGAAACCAGTAAACCCCTGAAAAAATAGGGGTGAGAGTGAAGATGAATGTGGTATCTACAGCAACTGTTACTGAATAAAATAGTAATTCAACTGGTTGTCAATTCATCTGTTACACCACTTGCAGAGTGAATACTGAGCTAATAAAATAGTGCATGTCTGTTCTGGACAAATAACTAGCCTCTTGTGGAACTTAAAAGGGTATGTATTGACTCGATAATGCATTACAGTATAATTAAGCTTTTTGGAACTTTGAGTTCCTGTTCTGCAGTTCATTATGTATGGGTTTTGAGTGCTGCAGTGTCATGGATTATGAAGAAGCTGGTTTGGTCATTCTGAAATAAAGCATCTTTTGCTGAAGAGTAAGTGCCAACAGCATTAACAAAAGGGAGATGAGACTGAGCTGTGTGCAACTCCTGCCATACCAAATTTACTTCATTAACACTCTTAAGTGTGTTTGTAGCAAGAATTGAGCCAGCTCATGTCAGAATGAAATCACTCAAGATTGTTGAAGTTCATAGAATTTGACGTTTGTGGAAGCCTTACACAAAGCACAGCAAGTTTTAAGAACGATTCACAGCCCATCAACTTAACACAAATTTTCACTGAGAAATGGAAGAAGAGTTATAAATGAGATGCTGGCAACTTAGTTAAATTCCTTTTCTGAGGATAAGTAGAAACTACTGTAGTCACCATAGCTTTCTTCCTGTGAATATATTGCAACTGTAAATATTAGGTATATTATATGTAAACTTCAAGAGCAGGGCTCCTAGTATGTGGAGAAGATGATACTGTAGCAGAGGGCACGTTGCTGTAGTGATAACAAACAAAACACAAACTTAATATGTTCTGTAGGTATTAACACAAAGCCTTGTGTTTGGTTTTGTATAAAGAAATCCTGAAAATGCAGGTTTGTTTTGAAGTAGATTTGTCCAGAAAAGTGTTCACCAGCATGTTAACTGGAATCACAGAATTGTCTAGGTCTAGGTTGAAAAAAAACCTTGAAGACCATCCAGCCCAACCATTAACCTCACACTGACAGTTTCCAACTATACCATATCCCTCAGCGCTATGTCGACTCTACTCTTAAACACCTCCAGGGATGGGGACTCCACCACCTCCCTGGGCAGCCCATTCCAACACCTAATAACTTATTCTGTAAAGAAATGCTTCCTAGCATCTAGCCTAAACCTTCCATGGTGCAATTTTTTATTGAAATGTTATTTCCTTCGAAGTGTTGTAATTGTGGACAGGGGGTTTTTTAAATTAGCTTGAATGACTGTTTTTTCCGACTTAAAATTTTGCTTGAGAATCCTTGTGTCTGAGAAGTACAGGAGCTATAGTGTGTCTGCCAAGAAGAGGCTCCAGCAGTAATTTGTAGCTAGGCAAAGAGAGTAATTTCCATGGACTTGGATCAAAGAGTGACCTGTTAGCTCTAGCAGACTGCTGGTTTATGGCTAATCCTTGCTAGAAGGTTTTATGGAACATCCTACACTTGATGATTTGAGAGAGGGCATGGGTTTATGAAGTTGTTTGGTGTGTTCTGGTTGGTGTATCCTGTACAATGTTTTAAATTTAACAATGAGTAAGAAATGGCAACACCTGTTTAAGGAACAAGGACAACTAGTATTGTCCTTCATGGAGTGAGGATGAATAGAATGGGATTGGATGGATTAGTGGCAAACCCAGAAGGTGCTAAGCAAATAGCAAGAGAATTTGATTGCTTACATCGGGTATGGGTGTGCCTTGAGATGGAGAAAAAGGTGGATCTACTGGGTTTGTGTGGCAAAGTTTTGGTAGCAGGCATGGCTTCTGTAAGAAGCTGAGAAACTTTCCCTGTGTCTGACAGAGCCAATGCCAGCCAGCTCCACAACAGACCCACTGCTGGCCAAGGCCAAACCCATCAGCAATGGCGGTAGCACCTCTGGGATAATGTATTTTAGGCGGGGAGGTGGGGGTGGGACGCACACAGGGCCCATGTAACAGCAATAGCAGTGGTAGAGAGGACTGAGAATGTGAGAGCAACAACCCTGCTCTCACCAAGGTCAGTGAAGAAGGAGGGGCAGGAGGTGCTCCAGGCCCGGGAGCAGAGATTCCCCTGCAGCCCGCGGTGCGGCCCATGGTGAGGCAGCTGTGCCCCTGCAGCCATGGGGGGTAACGGGGGAGCAGATCTCCACCTGCAGCCCGGGGAGGAGCCCACACCAGAGCAGGTGGGTGCCCGAAGGAGGCTGTGACCCTCTGGGAAGCCCGTGCTGGAGCAGTCTGTTCCTGAAGAACTGCACCCTGTGGAAGGGACCTATGCTGGAGCAGTTCATGAAGAGCTGCAGTCTGTGGGAAGGACTGACATTGGAAAAGTTAGTGAGGACTGTCTGCTGTGGGAGGAACCCCTCACTGGAGCAGGAGAAGAGTGTGAGGAGTCTTCCCTGAGGAGGAAGGAGCAGCAGAGACAACATGTGATGAACTGACTGCAGTCTCTATCCTACTGCACCACTGGTGGGGAGGAGGGAAAGAGGCTGGAGTAGTTAAGCCCAGGAAGAAGGGAGGGGTGGGGGGAAGATGTTTTAAGATTTGGTTCTATTTCTTATTACTCTATTCTGATTTGATTGGTAATAAATTAAGCTAATTTCCCCAAGTGGAGTCTGTTTTGCCCGTGGTGGTAATAAGCAAGCCATCTCCCTGTCCTTACCTTGATCCACAAGCCTGTCATTATATTTTCTCTCCCCTTTCCAGCTGAGGAAGGGAGTGATAGAGCAGCTCTGGTGGGCGCATGGACTCTAGCCAGGGTCAACCCACCATAGTGGAACTAAAGAAAGGAGCTGGTATGTGGGTGGTTGGCTTCAAGAGCAGGCAGACTGCAAAAATTAGATGAAGGAAAATTAGAAACTTAGAGCACTGGGACTTAGGTGGATTTTTTTCTAATGGGAATATTATAATAGCAGGCTTCTATAAATGGGGAAAAACTTTAATTGAACGAAAAGGATCATGAGTTATGCAAAAATAATTAATTATAGATGCACTTAAAAAGTTATAATGTGCCTTCAGATTGCAGGGGTGGGGGGTGTATGTTCATTACTAGATTAGTTAAGCAATTTGTTAGTGAAGGGCAGAGAAGAATAATGCAAGTAGTGCAAGACAGACTCCACTGCTGTGGCAATAAAGGAAGAAGACTGGTATCAAACTCTGAATTTCTTCCAAAGAATGCTATGAATAATTCCTAAATTATCTACAAAGATAAAATAGTATGTTTGGGTTTGGGCTGGAGAAACAAAAGCAGCAATATATATGTCTGTGTGAGCATATCTGAAGTTTCTTCTGTTTGCTGTTTTCCCTCTGACCTTCAACTTGCATTAGAACTGCAACAGTACCTTGTAAAACAAAATAATGGTTATTTTTAAATCCTTGTTGATGTGCTGTTGTTTATTATCTGCAATACTAGCTATTGCAACAGAGTTTCTGTACAGCTTTGGTAGGAGGGTTGCTTCCCTTAAGTGGGGTGGTAGAGATGAATGAATGTAGAGTGTGTCTGCATTGGTAGTTTAATACAGGGATTTTCTGGATGCAAATCTGGCTGTTTGACATCAGAGTGATTTACCTCTTGGTGACACAAAAGGTTTAGGCAGTGCCTGGGGACGTTCTGTGACTGTACTGGGCTCCAGGCAGGCTCTTCAGTCACTGCCGACGTTAACTGTACCTACACTACCTGTATTAATTGCCAGTTCTACATGCAGGATACAGAATTTCACTGCCAGTGTCTGATGCAGATATCCAGTCCTAAACACATAAAAAATTGCAGCAAGTTGAACCCCAGTTCTTCCCTTTTTGCATTGCACTAGTCAGTAACATACCCTTAAAGTTAACAAAAGTTATTTGTTGAAGGATGGCAGTCTGGACAACAAGCTGGTTTGCATGCTAAATTTGTAGCAAGTTGTTTTCTGAAATGGTGTAGTGATGAGACTTAAAATTCTGTTTAAAATATTTCATTTGTCAACAGACCTAGGTACTATGAAGCAGCATGTCCGAGCCTGCTTAAAGGGAGTGGAACAACTTTGTTGTTATGATTAAAGGACAGGAAATTATCTCTGGCATGTGTAGAAGGTACACAGAAGTTTGTAGTTATACTTACTTGTTCTAATTTTGTACTCCAGTCTTAAAAAAAAATCCATATTTTCACTTCATCTTGGATCCATCCCTTCTTCCCTGAATGAAATAATGATTATGCTTACATATATAAACTGTTTTTACAGTAAATAGTTGCAATAAGAGTTGGGTTAAAATTATGTTTACCTAAATTCTGTGCTTTTTAAAATTCATCTAACAATTTTTTTTATATTTGAAATTACAGTATTTGATCTTTTTAGAAGAATTTCTGATGCATGTGTTCTTGCAGATCCTCAGGTGGAAATACATACTTTTTTTGGTGATATATTCATGCAATGTTTTTACATTTTCGGTGGTTTGTTTTGGTTTTTTTTAAGAAAGTGGTTTTAGGTTCAGTATAGGTTTCTATCTTGAGCTTAACTGCTGTCTTTCTGTATTTCTTCACTTCAAAGCTGTAGTGTATTAAACTCAGGCTTTTCAGTTGCATAGTAAATGCTATGTTCTCATCTCCTCTATTAATGGAAAGACCATATTCTGAATCTCTCACAGTCTTCTGGGTGACATGAAATGCAGAGGACTGTATACTTTTTTTAGTGCTTTTTTTTTTTTTTTTTTTAAATACTGTTACCAGTATGGTACTGTTGCTTGTATCTGCAAACAGGTTGAGTGGAAACCTTATAGGCCGAACTGAATTCTTTTTGTTAATGTCTTTGTCTTCCATGAGCAGCAGGTTATATTAATTCATTAAAGGAAGAGTCTGAAAATTGCTGTTCTAGGAATTACTGATGCCAGTTTTTATCGTTTTCCCTGTTTTTTGCTGTTCCTTTTCCAAATTTAAATATTTATGCTTTGCTAGAAAAGAAAAAATACTGACAGCAGCAACTTCTCTATTTAATTAAAATCTAGCATTCATTTAATGTTTGCTTTCCTCAGGTGACAGATTTTATTCATGGCTGCTTTGTCAGCCGCAGAGAGGGACAGCAGTTCTTCCAGAGCAGACTGGGGAAATACTTTAATTACAGTAAGCCCTTCTTCAAAAATGAATTTGAGTATCTGTGGCCTTACAAAAGGGCAGAACAGTGAGAGTGTGCTATTGATGTATTTGTCACATGAGAGTCAGCTCTCATGGGAAAGTATACAATTCAAGGGCGTAACTTCTTGATGTTTCCCTAGCAAAATAGTGGTGCACTTGCCTAGCCCGTGTGTATCTTACCGTGTAGGAACAAAGACATCACAAGACCATGCTTATGAGAAAAAGATTTCATGTTCTGGTTGTCCAGTATGATTTTTGTCTTGATAGCATGTCTTGGTTGCACGTTGAAATATGTGGTCTCTGCACCCTGTTGACATACATAAACAAATTAACTCTTGCGTTTCCTGTTCAGTTAGGGGTATATTTATTTGTGTAAACCTTCTCATAATGTTCTGTTTTCCCAGGCATCCTTTGCGTGGCTGACCAGTGCCATGGCTTACGTGAGTTGGCGCTGAACTACCACCTGCTGAGTGACGAGCTTCTGCTTGCTTTGTCTTCTGAAAAACATGTCAGGTTAGAACACTTGCGCATTGATGTTGTCAGTGAAAATCCTGGACAGACTCAGTTCCACACGATTCAGAAGAGCAGCTGGGACGCTTTCATCAAGCATTCTCCTAAAGTAAATTTAGTAATGTACTTCTTCTTGTACGAGGAAGAGTTTGACCCATTCTTTCGTTATGAAATACCTGTCACTCACCTTTACTTTGGAAGATCAGTAAGCAAAGACGTACTTGGCCGCGTTGGGATGACGTGTCCTCGGTTAGTGGAACTGGTGGTGTGTGCCAACGGACTGCGGCCACTGGATGAGGAGCTGATCCGTATCGCAGAACGTTGCAAGTATCTGTCAGCCGTCGGCCTAGGAGAATGTGAAGTCTCTTGCAGTGCCTTTGTTGAGTTTGTGAAGATGTGTGGCGGTCGTCTCTCTCAGCTTTCTATTATGGAGGAAGTTTTGATTCCTGATCAGAAATACAGCTTAGAGCAGATTCACTGGGAAGTTTCAAAGCATCTCGGTAGAGTCTGGTTCCCAGACATGATGCCCACATGGTAAAGTCCTTAAAAAAACTTCAGGGCACATGGAATAGCACCTTAAACCCAAGCTTACCATATTGCAATTTACTGTATAAGCTTATTTAATACTATAGTTTCTAATGTAAGTTACTTCATTGTTTGATTAGAAAATTTTTCATTCAAAAATGATTTATGAAATCCCAGTTCAGAAGTAGAAGTTGTGGATAGCTCCTTCTTCATCCAAACAGAAATCTGTTTTCTGTTTTAGATGTCTTGTTCATTGACAGTGACCTCAAACTTTTATGGAAATAAAAAATGTATTTAAAATACTGGAATGTACCTTCAAAACAGCAGTTTTAATATGCTGTCCTTCTTTGATTCAGATACTAGTAGTAAACACAATCAGATTTGATCTTAAAAAACCAAACAGAACCCCACCAAAACTGCACGCTTCTGTTGCAGACCAGCGCATTTCTAAATCCAGTCACCTGGATGACAAGATAAAGATTATAAGGAGTATTTAGTAGGCTGTGAAATATACATGTTCTTTTCTATAAAAGTCATAAAAGGCAAGAGCAATACACAATAATGTAGTTTAGACAATTAAAATATCAAGTTTGCTACCTTATTCAACAGATTATTAGATCCATCTAAAATGTATTTAGAGTGCAGAGAAATAGTAGTGCGAGCTACCAAAAGTGATGTGGTTTGTTTTCCCTCTATGCATTTTAACATAGTTTGCTTATGGGGTCTCAGATCTGTGTCTAAACCTGTTTTAAGGTATTTTATGTCTAGCTCAGGAAGCGAAAGCATTCTGGGGAAAAATGTAGATACATTGTATTTAAAAACACATTGGAGTTAATGAGCATTTCTTGCACATTAACCGGGTTTGCAGCATAAGGTTAGATGGAATAATGTATAGTTTCTTAAATATGATGTGAACAGCATAAGACAAGGAAGTTAAAATTTGAATGGTGACCAAGAACCTTTTAACAAAACCTTAGATCTTTTGGCTGCTTTCAGTTTGAGAGAATGACATTATAACAGTTGCTTAAGCTGTATAAACTAATTGTATACTGTAAATCTGTTTCAGAGATGTTTATGTATAAAGTGAATGTTTGATAGATGATCATTTTATATACCTTTAATTCAGCTAGTTCGATCATTTCATAATATTTAAAAACCTAAAAGCAGTAAACTTGCGTGAAGTAGAGGAATAGGCAAAATTTTGTTTTGAATACATGGTAAATCAGTTTTATTAAAGAAAGTTTTTAGTCTGTAAGTGGTGTGTAGGCACCATATTGCCTGTGATCTGGATGTGGCTTGTGACTTCATTTCTTACTGCCAACAGTTACATTATTTTCTGTCTTAGATTATTCATTGGTTAACACTATAAAATATTCATGTGACTGCTGAATGTGTTCGAAAGGTGTGCTCAGCCACCAGCAAGGCAAAGCTCCTCCAGTTGTGGGCTGTACTGAACTTAACTAGTGGCTGCTTCTCATTTGAGCTGTACAGCTGCTTCTGTAGATTTTCTTCATTTCTGATTTCAGTAATGTTTATCCAAATGTATAGTTGAAGTGTAATACACTTATGAGCATATTTAAGTTCATAACTATATTTTGAGCAAACATTGCTCGACAGACTGGACATCTTTATAGGGGAGTCAAATGTTTCTGTAGAGCTTTGATTTAAAAATCACATTTTATGAAATAGGTATTTTTTTGTATTAGAATTTGTTATATTAATGTAACACTATAATTTGCTTTTATTTGTATAAAATGTGTCAATATATTTAATCTGTAAAAGTAAAAAAGCTCAGTGTTTTTTATATTCTGACTCTGAACTACCTACGAGATAAAAGTGGAGTAAGACCAGCAATTTGGGGAAGACGACACATTTTCACTAAATTAATGTGTGAAATAATCTTATTAGTAATGTAGCTAAAACCTCTTTGGACCTTGACCGCTGCTGTCTGACATTGCCTGGGTATGCTGATCTGTCACTTAATGGCATGGTGGTAGGAATAACTGCAAGGCAAGACCCAGCCTCCATGCCTGAGCCTCCTCACTTTTGAAGTTCACAGCTTTGAAACCCAGCGTTCTGTCAGGCCCTGAGGGGGGAACATGTCAGCAGCTGTAGGCTTTACACTCAGTTGTAGTAGAACTGCTTCCCCACAAGGTAACTGGCTGTCCTCTTCTGAGAAGGGCTCTGTTTTACTGCACAGACTTCAAAAAGCCCTTCATCGATGCAACACAGTATCATAACAGTTAGCAAAATGTGCAAGGATAAGAAAACCACTTGAAAACAGCTGTGTCTCTCTTGCACTGAAGACCTGCAGGTTTTATACATCAAACTGATTACAGTGTCCTTAGCTTGAATAATTTGGCCATAAAACAAACTCCCCAAGTAAGTTTATATTCTAAATAGTTTCAGGAAAAGCTACAATGCTCCTTTTTAGCAGATCTTGTACATTTTCTTAATTTGGCTTCTACACATGTTGGAACAAATTAATAATTTTTTTTTAAATCCATGACATGAGTAGTAATGAGTACCACAGACTGTCATGAAGCTTGCTGAAAACATGAACGTGATTGTCTTACAGCTGTAGAAAATAATTTTCCCTAGGTTCACCTTTATTTCTTGTTTTTTGTTAGAAGATAATTAAAGTATTGGCTTGGTTGTCCAGTTTGGGTAGGAGTAGTTAGTATGTACAGTCACACATCTTACCTCGGAACTCAAGTGCTAAATCACTTCAGGTTTTGGATGCAGATTTACTCTTGAAAGCTGCTGATGCCAAATAGTTGAAGTAATCCTGACGAGCTCTGCTGCCTTACCATGAGATTATATATCAAAAGCGAAAAGGTGAGTGATGTAAGACCAGCTGTTTACATTACCTTTGTAGCTTCCTGCAATTTACAGGAGCTACAAAATTGTGAATTTAAGTGGGTATTTCTGCATTTTTTTCTTAGTCAGAAACATACCATGCAAACTGATCTAACTATGTAGGTAAAAATTTGCTGTATCTGTTCCTATTGTTAAAATTTTGATGTATGCCAAATAAATTTTCTGTGAATTTAAAGCAGGGTTCCTCTGGGCCTCTATATTTGGAGTAGGCCTAACTAAAACTTAAACTTTGATACATTACTTCAGAGAGATCTGTCTTTATCTTTGGCTGGTCCAGCCAGTTGTACATGGAATGGTAAAAAGTGCTGCTGCTGTATCTAAAACTGGAGCATTGATTTAATGAGGAAATGTGTGAAATCTGAAAGGGAATTTCAGTGTCTGTAGTTCAGACAACAAATTAAATTAATTTTCCTAAGATACAGGTTCTATAGAAAAAAGTCCCTTGGAGATATGATTGAAGTTTAATAGTATTGAAACTGTAACAGTGAAACCGCAATTAACCTTAGATGTTCTGTATGTTCATCTGTTCATCCTTTTTGTTAGGTTTTTCTTGTAGGATCACATCCATTGTTGGCTGTTGCAGTTCATGTGCTTTGAAACGGAGACTGTGGCGTGCTTTCTGTTCTGGGTTCCACCTGTGCTTTTGTAAGGCGGCATTTCCTTGAAAAATGCTGAGGAACTGGGGTAGCTTTGGACCTTTTAGAAGAAAATACCTGTTCCTTCCAGTCCTCCAGCATGACAGAAAACTTGTAGTATCCTATTTTTGTGCAGGATTGTCCTAAGATAACTGTCATGGTTGGTTATATGAGTAAGGAAAAAGATTTGTGATTCTTCACCTGTTGTATGGATCCAAGATAAAGAATTCATCCAGACTGAAGTCAGTTAACTGGCAGTTGGGCAGCCTGGATTTCAAATCCTGATGTAACCATTAGTAAGGCAAGAACTTTGGATATAGCATCATACCAGTTACCCCGTCTTTATTCCCAAGGAGCAAGATTTAAGAGATAGTGCCACCCCTGAATCCTCCCACAAACAAAGGCTTGAGTGTTTTGGAGGGAGATAGTGCGAAAGGAGGAAGAGGGTTGATTATTAATTCTGTAGCTGAAGTCTCAGACAGTCACAGAGTGTCTGGGCTGGAAGTCCCTTCTTCCCATGGAGTCTCTGGCACCCAAAAGCAGTCCTGCACCCTAAAACAGCCTTAATGCAGCAGGAAAGAGGCAGGCTTTAGAACATCCCTTCTCCCATGGCCAGCAGCATCAAGTCCTTGGAGGAATCTTGACTCTCCAGTGTTACAAACCCTCCAAATTAAAATTGTTTCAGGAGGTGATGCTTTGCTCTAACTGTTCAGCAGCCATTTTGGTAGTATTATGTTAGCATGGTATGAGTTGAAAAATTTCTTGCAGGAGTCTCGTTCATAATAACAGCTTTTAATTATAGAACCCCACAGACTGTGTCTACCATTAATACTAAATTTTAAGTGTGATGTGACACGGGAGATGATTCTTTTAATTCTATTAGTTTTTCCTAGCCTGAAAATGATGGCTGGTAAGGCCTGTTTTCACTACCTAATTTTGCTAATTTGCAATCACCAGCTGATGGTGGGGATTTTATACTTCAGACTTATGATTTACACTCTATTGTAAGTTGAAGAACAAAAGTCTGCTCTGCTTTTCAAGTTATTCCCCAGTTGTGGTGACTTCAAAACTAGAAGAACCTCAAGGTCACCAACACTCTCCTCAGTTATGGTACTGAAAGTGGCAGCTGTCCTAATCCAGAATATCTGTCAGTTGAGTAGGTTTGTGTGGCGAAGGAAGAAAGCATTTGTACCAGCCCTTTCTGTGCAGGCCCCTTTGGCGAACAGGACCTGCACGCTCCATTTGATCTTGATGTATGACAAGGCAGGAACTCCTTGCTTGAGAACCCTCTTGGAGGAAAGTGTGGGTTATAGCCCTGAGCAGCTCAGTGGTATAAAATTTAAGCAGTTTTGTGTAAGACCACTCTGGAGACTTAGAAATCTCTGCATTACAGAATTATCATGTATTTTTACCCTCGACTGCAATGTGCATAAAAGCAGGGAGCAGAACCAAGCACAGCCTAAAGTGGCCAATAACTCCTGCATTCAAAGCCTGAGTAATGACTCAATGACACGTGTTAACTGGAGACAGATAGAAGAGAGAGGAGGAACTTATCCTTGAGCCCGGCAGTTAGGACATTCCCCTGGTTCCTACCATCAGGCAAGCTGGTTGTGAGTGAAGTGATCCTATTATTCCCAACCCCGGTGTGACTCTCAGCAGGACATCCACCTCAAATGCTTGATCTGAATAGGTGGTTTTCAGGCACAAACAACAGATAATCAGGTGTACAGAAGGTGTTGGATGTCACATTTGCTTTTTAAGAGACAGAAGTGTCAGCTTTAGGGATTTATTCTGGGCTTGTCTAAACTTCATGGAAGTAGCCTATGACTCACCTCAGTGTTATTCTGGATCTAACTTTATAGGCCTAACTCTGCCCAGCAGAGCACACTGCACTTAAAAACTTCAGTCTATATGATGGTGAATCTATTTCCAGTGCAATGATTAGTCAACAGCTGCACCTCTTACAGAACTGCAGGTTGCATTGGTGGAGTTTATTTCCACCCAGGTGTGCATTCACTCTGAACAGTTGGCTTTTAAGTTTCTGAACAAAATCTCCCAAATAGAGAGAAGCAAAGGAAGTGAGGGGCTCCCTCTCCAAACTTGTGCTCAGATGGAATAAATACCAGCCTCAAAAGGAACTCATATGCTAAAAAAGGGGCAACTCCTACACTGATAATTAGTGCCTTTAAACTGAGGATAGAGTTCAAAGTGCAAAACACACTGAAGCAAAACACATGGCTGCATAAAGGAATTGTTAAATGCTCATCACTGACCTACCACTGAACACACTCACAGAGTCTGACTCTAGCTGCTGCTTTATCCTTCTGCCTGGAAGGGATGCAGTACCCTTGACAAGTAACTTTTCAGTTTTCATGTTTTTTTTTTGTTGTCAGAAACTTACTGTCCTCTTAACTTGCAGTTAATACTTGCTAGGATGCAACTGTTTCCACTTGAAGCAACTCCCTGTACCATCCAGAGTATCAGGGTTAAAGATGCTAAATTAAATGGATTGCACAGATGAAATTGGAAAAATGAGAAGGGCTGTTATTAAGGTACAAAAAAGCCCAGGATATTATAAACTTGTACTGATAGAACCACAAGTTACATTTGACCACAAACATAAAAAGTGATTACTCCTTTCATATAGCCACCCCTTATTTTTTATCAAGTTCTTTAATAATCATGAAGATTTTACCTCTGCAGACAGTCAGCTATGTCAAGTCATTCTATAATCTCTCTAGGTATTACTGGTCCACAAACACCCGTCTTTTTGATTGTTAGGAGCTGCACAAGGCAATTTTGACATGTGGGGTTCAGCTCCCATTAGCTGTGTATTTCAGGATTTGGCATTTCCAGTTCTGCGAGGCTCTTCTATGCATCATAAAATACTCTATTAGGGGAAAAGAATGACTTGGTGTGTAGGCTCCCTAGGTCCCATGTGAAAACAAGGAAGTACTGTACCATGAGCAAACAATACTACTACTCTACTCTGGGGGAGCATGACCTACCCTGCCCATGACATCTGCTTCAGGCTCTGAAAGGCCTCTAACTGCAGCAATGTTACAAGCTTCTTAGCAAATGCTAGAGAAGAAGCTTCTGGGGCTTCTACTGCCTTGGTTCCACAATCATAGGACATCCCCTTCAGAGCTCTGGACACTGGTTTTGAGGTTGAGGCTTCCTCCTGAGACAATAAATGAGAGTTCAACAATGTTGAGGGTTCTGAAGTCAGACATGCATCAACAAGAACATATCTTCTGTAGACAGACTTATGAACCCCTTTATATTTCCTAGTGCCTCCTGAATTACCTTGGTGGGTAATTTGAAGCTCTGCTGGTTAAAGCAAGGGCTTGTGACTTTGACTACAAATAGTCTTGCAAGTTGAGGCAGAAGATGGAAGTTTCACAGAACAGCGGAACTAAGTAGCAGCTTTCCCCTGCAACAGAAGCACTCTCATCACCTCATTCCTCTCACGCTAGCTCTCACACTCATCCCATTGCATGATAATGCAATTCAACTAATTAATTTTAGTGACTTTTTAATACAAGGTTAGTTTTATGCCATTCTTATGATTTGAAACAAATCACTGTGTCTTTACACTGTATATTCCTCTTGCTGGCTGCACCAGGGTATTAACTTGGCTCAAGCCAAATGAAGTTGCAGAATTGGGTTCCTGTGTTACTGATTAGCCATGACACAGTAATAACCTCTGCAGGAGGGCGACTCATTCTGCAACTAGTTTAAAAAAAAAAACAAAGTGAGCAGTGTACACTTGGAGATGATAATGCTGCTGCAGGTGTATTTTTTGTGTATAGCCACCTCCCTAGTGTCCAGAAAGCCAGTGTTCCCGTGGCTTTGGTCAGTCGGCTATACAGGGAACCCATTGCCAAGCTGCAGCACTGCCAGGGAGAAGCTGCAATGGCTTTGTATAGGCAAATTTATGACAAGTACAGGTTTTTAACTGTGACTTTGACACTCCACAAACTGTCATTGCTTTTTTAATATTAAAGGATTCCATGCTTTTTAAAAAAAAAAAGTTAAAAGGAATATAAATGTGACTTCTAAGAAACCAACCTGATTGAAGCCTCGGGTAGACTTTAAGACAGGACACTGCTAGAACAGTGCAGTTATGCATCAAAACAGGCTGTTTGCCTTCTCTCTGTGTTAGAAAATACACACAAATCTTAGGAAAAGCCATCTGTATTGTGTTTACAGTACAGGTGAAGGAAGCAGAGTGATGAAAAGATACCACCCATGCCATCTTCTAATGTGTTCACTGCCCCTTCCCACCACGCTGAACACCTACTTCATGAACCAGAAAACAGGTCTTAAGTCCCAGACGCACAAACCAAAGAAATACAGAAACATTCTTCTAAGGCACACATTGAGGGAAGTGGGCACATCTAGGCACTCAGGTTTGTTAGCTCCAACACGTGGATTAGCCAAGCTGGTCAGACCAGAAGGTCCTTGTAATGCTTGTGTCCCATCTCTGTTGGTGACCAGGTGCTATCTGTGGCCACATGGCCACGTATGTGGAGAACACCTGTGACCAGAGCTGGCAGGCTGCCTCCTGCTCCCCCTTGGGCCCAGCAGAGTTTAGCCAAGAGCAGCCACATCAGCTCACCTTCAGGCAGCAGATGCCCGTGGTCACACAGAAGCCAGTCATCAGAGATGCTGAAGCGTTCATGAAATGTGCTATACAGGTAATTAAAGAAAAAAAAAAAAAAAAAAAAAGGCAGTCTTTCATGGGGTCTAGCAAAGCCTTCCCAACATGACTTTTACAGTTAGCAGTGGAACACACAACACTAATACCATCATGGTAGCACTTCAAAATCCTCAGAGATATTCTGACATAAGGGCAAGTTTGATTCTTCAGGAAGCAATTATACACCAAAGAATGTTTTGTTTCCAACAGGTAAAGGGACCTCTTCATAAATTATTTTGAGATATGGAAACTTCATAGGTAAAAACCAGTACTCCAAGTTGTAGAAGAGGTAAAACTGATGATTCAGAATGACACGATCGATTATTTTTAAAAGATCCACAAAAAACTCTCTGACTGTCCGATGAGGTTTGAATGGATAGTAGAAGTCTCTTATAGCTGCTGCCAATGTCTTGTTTCCTAGAGGTCCAAAAATAGATGTTTCATTTCCCAAATAAATAGGTTCTCCACTGAATAAAATTATGCTCGTATAGTTTGTTTGTATCTTCTTAAATATAGCTCCCAAGTCAGCTAGCTTCTGGTATGTTCTCAGTATAAATTTAGAGCATTCGTAAGAGTCAAACCATACTATTGATTGTCTGTTGGGACTTGCTTGAACTGTCCAGGTCTCATAGTAAATGCCAGTCTCATTGTCATATTTTACCCATTTTGCCATTTCATTAAACATGGCTCCTGTAAGAGATAAAGATAAGTATTACAGAGACAAGATAACAAATATATGACTCAAAATATTTTCCATCTCTTTCAAGGATCACCTCCAATCCCTGCAAAAGTTTAACCACAACATTACCTAACCATACAAAGACACAAGTCTTAGGTTGGAGGGAGAAGTGATATCCCACTGAATAAACTATATTTACATGTGACTTACTGAAACTATTTCTTTTTTATGCATCATTTCCTGCTACTATCCCAGAATATCCAAACATCAGAGAACCACGTGTGAGAGGCTGAAATGTCCTACGACTGTCTCAAAGCTTGCTTGTGTCTGTGCAAACCTCCAAGAGAAGCTGCTGCAGCCTGTGAACTGGTCTGGGGGATGCTGCCCAGAGAAGTGGGAGTGTATTGAAGGATGCTCCCCCCCACTTCCTTGCGGTTGTATTGTCCGGACTCTTTAGACAAGCCTCAAAGAGGCAGACATGGACTGAGCTGGCCCCATCCTGTAGCCATTTGTGGCTCTATTGTGTAGGCCAGACCCCATGCATGCACTGCTGATGGACTGACAAGAGGAAAACGTTTGGGCCCTGAAGCCCCACAAAACCTGTGGGACCAGAGGAAAAAAAAAAATTAAAGGTGGGCAGATATGCTAATCAGCGGGTATGATGAACTTAAAAAGGCAGCAGAAATTTTTGCTCAGTGTGCATCCTCCATCGAAGCCAGATCCATGTGCACCCACCACCAAAGAACTAAGACCGAGGACCAACGGGTCATTGCTGGATCCATGGTGGTGACCATTCTTGCAGCCCTATCCTGCATACTTGATTTATTTCTGTCTTTTCCTTCCATTCTGTCCTATCACTACCCCTCTTCACCTTTTTAATTATAAATTTTGGGTATATGACATTTGGCCTTGTTTGTGTCTTAATATCGCTCTTGGGATCGTAACGAAACCTCCCCCAATACTGGATCGGGACACCATGACACTTCTCATTTTGTTTTAATCCACGTAGACAAACAGGGCAGGTAGTACAATCTACAAGAGATGCTGACAATGTGCTCACCAGTGCAAGAGGTATTTCTGCACTTCCTCAAGTTTAACTGAATTCAGCAATTCAGGGCAGAATTTTTCATGTCTCTCCACAAAACAGACCTTAGACTAAGAGACCCTGCTGTTTTAGCAGCTCATCTGCCAGCAAAGTTGAACTAAGCCAAACGATGTGAGTGGGATGTGAAGATCAGTAAGCTTAAAGACCTTGTGGACTCTTTTTTTTATTTAAAATACGTTTGGAGTGTTTTGCTGATTTCACAACTGGAATGAGGAAGACATCTCTAACTCAGCTCATCCCCCTGGTAGCTCCTTACATGTGATGCATCTGCCTCCCCAAAATAGAGCTGAAGCACAGGACTCATCTTCCTTCTTTTGTTTTTCCTGTAGTCCTAGCACCGCACTCTTCCCACCCTCTCTCAGTCATGGCACAGGGTGTAGCCATCTATGACGCAGATCTGTCTAGCACCTCACCATGACCAAATTTTGCAGATTTTTCTTGTGCGATGTCAGAAGACAGCCAGACGACAGCCTGCAATGGTGACAGTGTTGAAAACCATGATCTCTCTTTAGCTGTAAGCGTCACTGCTGTGGGTACAGTAACAGTGCTTGGTAGCTGCTGAAAGACAGGCAAGACTGCAGCAAGCCAAGACTGGCAGCAGTCACCTCACAGTTCAGCGGCGGCAGACATCAGACAGATCTGCATCATGAACACCGTCCTGCACACAACCACCAGCCTCTTGCATTAAGTCTGAATTCACTGCACTGTTGCATTCATCAAGACCAATGAGGAGCACTACATGCCACACATCTCCCCCCAAAACAAGCCACAAAGGTCCAACTGCTGGATCTACTCTTCATCAGAGAGTAAATGCAACTCATGCTTACCCTGAGGCAAGGCATGTGTGCAAGCTACTACCTCAGAACAACTGAGCTCTGCACATACACCTCCTAGGCTACCCCATTGTAACTGTTCTTCACACTTAAGAGCTTTCAGGCTTCACAGCAAACATAAGCAATCATTCTGTTTAGTGAAAGTGTTGGATACTTTCCTTTGTAACTGCCCATGGCTTGGTTTAATAGAACAAGTCATTACATCTGTACCAAGAACTGTACTTACTATAGACTGCAGATGGGCCTGAAGCTCCCCTTTATCTTCTCTAATTCCTACCAGATTAGCTTTCTAGTGTGTATTCTGTACAACATGTTATTGAAAAGGTTTTGTCTCTCCTAACAAGACCAAGATGGACTTAATATGAAGTTCTGACCTTAAAGTCTTAAATTAAACAAAAATATTACAGGTTAATGCATGGCTCTGTGATAAGCTGTTGGAAGATGCCTAGACAATCAAAAATCAGACTTTGGATATTCCTGCCCTGTTTCCACAGAGACATACCCATAAGTAACATTAACCTGGCTGATGGGCTTTAAAAGAAAATGAGATTGCTTCACTGTGGTCTCTGACAATGCTGACAAACAGCTCTACAGGATCCCACAAGGACCAAGAGGGTGCAGCTATTTCACAGGTTAAAGCCCTCTCCCATGAGATGGGTTGCTTTTGGCTGCTCTCTGAGGAAGCAAGTTCAGCTCATGATGCTGTCCATCTGTGCTTGCATCCATTCACCCAATTCCACGGTAACTTTTAGATTCCTAGTGAAATTAAGACAATTCAAAATTCCCAGAGATGCAACCTTCCTAAAAGTTTCATGGAAACAGGAAGCAAGAGAGACAAGGAGGACGGTAACAATGCCTCCACAAGGCACCAGTGTAACCTCACCTTTCTTAGGCATCAAATAATCTACACAGGCAGGAAGCATTACAAGTTCCACAACCGTCTGAAAAGATTTAACTTGGTATTCATACAAAAGAATCCAACCCTATCAGGCCTCAAAGACTTCAGTCATGAGCTACAAACTCAAAGGAAAGCAGCTCTGCTTATATCATTGCTTAAAGTACAGCCTAGAATTTCTTAGCAGCAGTGGACAGGTTATCTAGAGACCGAGTCCAGCAAAGCTGCTGAAGGTGGAAGCAGGCAAACATAAAGCACCGCACTAACTAGCTGTAATCAACCAGTGCCTTGTACACTATGCTAACTTCAGAGAGTAAGTGGCTTTGGACACACAAAATGAAACTCTCCAAGTCCTCAGGGGACTCTCTAAGTCATTCACTGTATTACTACAGTAATCAACCAGGTTTATTTAAATGACCTTTTTATTTTAGAATGTCAGTGTTCAGTATACACCAGGAAGTTATTCTGGTGATCAGCCACGTAATCAGAGGTGTAAATCCTGGTTTTGTTCCATGATATATGACAAAGACCTATTACTGAGGACATCTGCACAGTTTTTATGACCCATAATGGGAGAGATGGAAATAGAGATTAATATTTTATATATTTTTGAGACTATTTCTAAATATGCCTTGTTTGCTCAGTAATGTACACATTTTCACCAGTTTTTCTATCTCAGCAGTCATATGCCACTTCACAATAGAAGGTTTTGTTTTGGTGAAGCCATGTGAAAAGAGTCCATAATGGTTCTGTATAAGCTGTTTTGCTATTTTTACACTCAAGAGACACAAGTGTTTTTGTACAGCAATACCAAATGACTCTCACTGAACAACTCTTCAGTGTGCATTGTTCAAAAGGCGGTAGCCTCATAGCACTTTCTGTATTCAAGACAGTTCAGATACTATTTCAGTTTGAAATTAGCATCAGTGACTAACATTGCGAATAACCTAAAAAACATTGATTAAAAGATACTGCTTTACAGGAAGACAAGGCTGACTGTATTTTATTGTATTAGCACTAGCAAAAGCATCTGAAATCTACCTGATATTGTAGTCACAAGAACTAAAGTTCCATTTTCCTTCCAGTGTGCATCATCTATTCCTTCATAAAAGCAGGCAGCTCCCTGGTTACACCAGAATGGTGCATCCATGCCAGGCCGGAGATGTGGAAAGGTGCAGTTTCCAAGTTGGAAGAGCTCATACCACTCCATTGTGTAGTTTTTGCCTGTTAGAGAGCTCTTGAAACCCACAGCATCATGCATGATTTTCTGGAAAAGAAAAAAAAAAACCAAAAAACAAACAAAACAAAACAATCAACCAAACCCCAAAAACTTTTAACATAAAAATTATTTCAGCTTGGCCTGTACAGAAGGTAAGATGCCTGGGAGCTGCTGTGTAACAGGGCTAGAAGAGCAGAAGGGGTTTCTGTAACATCTTGGATTCAGTAGCACTGATGCACAACATACTAGATTATATCATGCACATACTTTTATCACAGAGTCACACTGTCCCAGTGGTAGTCTATCCATCCATTGTAAATTCTGTTATTTGGAGGCAGATACTCAGTGGGAGCTCATCATCAAAACTCAAGCTTACTTTTGAATCCTTAACCTCACAGGAGTATCAAAAAAATACAGAGCAGAACTGAGTTACTAAAACCAGATCATAGTAATGAAAGCCACAAAAGGAATGAGATATTTATTTTAAAAGCTGTACAGCAAATACATAAATTCAACCTTAATTTTAACAACCTTAGTAATGCTATTTGAAGATATTTCCAGTTTTGCCTGTGTGTGCTTGGTTTTGATGTTGCTATTTCATGTTCACTAGTATTTCCTTATTCATTAGGGATTATGCTTTGAAGCTTAATTATGCTACCACTACAGTTATAATTATTACTAAAGCAGAGACTCTTTCATATTTGCATGACTCCAGGAATGGAGACTTTATTCAGTACTGATCATAACATTCAAGAAAGAACTGTAAAAGCAACCAACTCCCCGTGAGCCACTATTCTAACCAGCTAGCTGTCTACTCCTGACAGATATCCATGTTCATGCAAATATGTATATTTTTAACAACAGAGAAGTTAATACACTAAGCAAGCATTTAATCTGATACAAGGGGACAAATAAATATATTTTCTTGATGCAGTGCTAGCACAGGAAAAGACACCAAAAATGTAATGGTATAACAAAACACTCCAAGTATGCAGCTCTGTGGGGGAACACATTCAAACCCACTGACAGTGCTGGTCATGCTCTTTTCTTTAGTTGAGCTAAATTCTGTAACTTTTGTTTGAAACTTACTGCTCTTTAAGTATCTTTCCTATAAATAGCCTAGCTTGTGTGCTCCAATACTCTTCCATACAAGCATATCCCAACCTTACAGCTCCCACTCTTGACATCTGCTCTTGAATTCAGCTAAATTTGCCACTATAGTTTTGTTAAACAAAAACATCACCTTACCAAATGTCCTAGTAGGTCCCCATATTTGAATTCCCATACTGGAGCCTGTAATCGGTAAACTTCAATAACATCCTCTTCCTTCATAACTGGAATGGCAGAGCCAGTGGGACAGAAGGTGTAACGAGCTTGGCAGTAAGGATCAGCTTTTGGACGGTAATCAAAGCGCCTGTATTGAGAAAGAGAAGCACAAAGAACAATAAGCACAGCTTCATGGCTGGAGTTAACTGTCTCATGGCTTCCACAGGACCTGAGCAGGACAGCTCAAGTGTCCAGCCATTCCCAAAGACTCCATGATCCAGATGCTGCAACACTTTGGAGTACACAAGCTTGTAAGGCTGCTGAGGTGCATGTCTGCAGAAACAGGACTTAAGACTCACGAATGCAAGTCATGTTGTACACAGTACTGATAGTAAAGGAGTGGAAATAATGCAGATTACAAAGGGTGACTTATACTCACAAAATCAGAGACACAGAGATGCTGGGTAGAGGACAGTTTGAGACCTGAGTCAAAAAAAATTCTCCAACAGTTTGTCCACACAGGGGTTGACCAGTTTGCTCTGGGAAACTATTCTATAGTAAGAGCTCCCCAGATGGAGCTATTTTTACTGTAGAATATTGCCAATATCAGAAAGAAATATTCTATTCCTCTATGCTAATTTAGATAAAGAGGTCTAAGAACCTACCTAGGATCACTGTTTCCATACATCATTCCTATTAAATCTCAAAAACTGACGACTGCATCTGCTTATGTATCGCACTATATACAAACAGCAAAAAACCTTCCTGGCAAGCCTTCCTTTCCCAGTTTCCTTCAGATTCACTCACTGTATTTCACTTAGGACAAAGTTCCTATATGCCCGTTACCAAGACAGACTAGTGTACACAGCTTGACCAGAGCACAGCCTAAGAGTCTAACACACTCAGTTGCCTAGGGCTACCAAATGGCACGAATACCCCAGTCATGAGATGACTCAAGGACACGGGACTTCCTCAGCCACAGTAAGGCCAGTAGCCTCACTGGGACATCATTTTTCTTCCCTGTAGACTTCTTAGCCAATCTTGCTGGGTTCTGCAGCATATCTGCTTTTATTTTGTCCACGGGGGGGGTGGGGGGTGGGGGGGTAAGCATAGCTGGAAAAGAACAGTTAGAAAGCAAAGATTTATGCCAACCATACGTTTAAGCCCTGTTTCTAAACTGCATTATCTTACATTTTCAATTTCCGCTTCTACTGCACCTTGGACACTGACAAGAAGGTAACAAGCACGTTAAGAAGCATTAAAATACCACATTTCTGAGTGCTTCACACTGACAGACTTGTACTCCAGTTCTGACCATCCTGAGACTCAGCTCTTGCAACGACTGAACTCGCTGGAAAACCTGAATGCCTCGTGACTGCAAGATCAGCTCCTTCAGGCATCACCTGATGCAAACTTAACTGATAGGAATTATGCAACAGGCTTTCAAAACTTCAGGCATGCATTAGATAGCAGTTAAACTATAAACACCTCCCTTTACAAACAGCAAGCCCACACAAAATACACATGACAAGTGTAGCCCTTCTCCTCAAGAGGCTTATTTCCTTATTGTAACTAACCAAAGCCGTAGCTACTTGCTTCAGCAGAATGCGGTAACGTGCACTGCTCTGCTTTCCCCAACCACACCAGGTCTTCTTCTAGAGCTAAGACGGCTCAAGAGCATTTAATGGAATTTTATACCATTTAACATGAACCGAAGTATGAAGTAAAGTTTAATTTAAAAAACAAAATAAATCGCAGCCTGACTTCCTCTTCACAACGTTTTGCTAAAACGGGAATTAAAGGTTCGTATTTAAAGCGTGGGCAGTCTTTCCCGGGGGCAAGGGATGGGGGGGCAGCCGTTCCCTCACACCTGTGAGCTAAATACACCAAATCTCGCATAAATGGCACATACCCCCGAGATTAAAAAGGAGAAATTACTCACGGCCTTTTCAATTTTAAAATTAGATAAACAAAACAAACGGAAAACCGACAGGCTTTGGAGGAAGAGGGAGAGGAGGCGGGCGATTAGGCAACGGCAGCCGGCCCGGCCGACCAGCCGCGGGGACGCGCCTCTCCG